TCCATTCATGTCACTTAAATGTGTTTTCTTAATTCCTGATTTCCTATCGCTTGGATGGATTTCTGGAAGTGGGCATATTTGCAGCCTTTGAGTCATTGGATGAGGAGATGCTGAAGGAGCCAGGACTGAAAGGCGGGCAGGAACAGACAGGCTGGACAGACTGTAAAATGGCCAACTGCCAGGAGACGGTACGAACTGTAATCTCTTTGGGGACGAGGCCCCGGGCTTGGCATCCCAAGCGGAGCACCACCGCGGTCTGGCTCTGTGGCCTCAGGCCACTTACTTACCCGAGCCTCACGTGGCCAATCTACACAGCGGGGGTGATCATAACACCCGATCGCCTAGGGAATTGGGTGGCATCAGACCTGTGCTCGCGGTCCCGGGCTGCGGAAGCGCTGGGCGATGACTCCCTGCTGTTGAACGTCCAGATTCCAAGCCCCGCCCCAGCGTTTGGCGGTGTCGTTATTGCAACCACCACTAGGGGTCAGGCGCCCGCGCCTCTCACCCATCGCGCAGTCCTGGGGGGTGGGAGAAGTTGGGCCCAGGAGATGTCTCCTAGAACCCAAACTCCCAGCTTTGGCACTCCCACCCTTTCCTTCTCCACCCCAATCCCATACTAGGCCCCTCTCCTGGGAGGCAGATGTGTCCTGTCTCCTAGAAGCAGATCTGGGACCCCCAGACGGTGGGGCTTGGCACTGGGCAAACCAGGGGAAGCTTCCATCCCTTCCCCCAGGAGGTTCAGGGCCCTGCTGGTCCACAGACTGGGACCTGCAGGGCCCTGTACAGATTCCCGCCAAAGGAGCTCGCTCCCTCCCTCCCTCCCTGTCCACCAGAGACCACTGTGTCCAGAGGGCTGAGGCTGTCCCCAGGCTGCCCAGTGCACTTTCTGGGCACCTGCTAACCCAGCCCCAGGCAAACATCCTGATGGCTAACACTCCACCATTGGTGTGCTTGGTGTCATTCACTTATATATTCATGCGGCCTTGACTGTGTCCACTGGAGTTCAGGTAAGCTCATGCTTCACCCAGCTATTTCATGCAGAGGTATGGCCCGCAGATGTGGTGGGATTGGTCCCTGGGGGCATTTGGACATTTGAGGGTGTTTCCATTTGTCAGAATGATAGAAGAGGACAGGCCTTTAATGAGCAGGGCCCAGGGATACTTGATATCTTGCAGAGAGCACTAAGGAACAGGCAATTTCACTCTAACACATTATATTCTTTGCTTTTTAATATACACTGAATTTTCCTAGTATGCAATGTACCAGATAAATAGATGGAAGATTTTAGTTTTTTCTTAAGATTTTATTTATTTGAGAGAGAGAGCATGATGAGCATAGGGGAAGGGCAGAGGGAAAAGCTGACTCCCTGATGAGCAGGGAGCCTGACCCAACCCAACCCGACCGACCAACCCAACCGACAGAGGGCTCAATCCCAGGATCCCAGGAACATGACCTGAGCCTAAGGCCGATGCTTCACCGACTGAGCCACCCAGGTGCCCTTTACTTACTTTTCTGAGGAATTTACCAAGAGTTATTCATTAATTATTTCAGAAACTGGGGTCACAAAAAAAAGATAACAAACTGCAGAAGGAGAGATCCCTATACAATGTTAGCACACTGTAAAATGTATATTATTTCCAGATATACAAATAGTAAAGGTATGAAAATGGTCAAAGAAATAATCAAAATCAAGGGGATCCCTGGGTGGTGCAGCGGTTTGGTGCCTGCCTTTGGCCCAGGGCGCGATCCTGGAGACCCGGGATCGAGTCCCACGTCGGGCTCCCGGTGCATGGAGCCTGCTTCTCTCTCTGCCTATGTCTCTGCCTCTCTCTCTCTCTCTGTGTGACTATCATAAATAAATAAAAAAATAAAAAAAATCTCTTAAAAAAAAAGAAATAATCAAAATCAGGATAGTGGATACTTCTGAAGAAGGAAGGCTTTTGATGACTTCTTTCCTTAAAAAAAATTTTTTTTAAATTTCAGAGAGAGAGTGGGGGAGGGGCAGAGGGAGGGGGAGAGAAAAACTTTAGCAGACTCCTTGCTGAGCTTGGAGCCGGGCTCTACCCCATGACCCTGAGATCATGACCTGAACCAAAACCAAAACTCTGATGCTTAGGTGACTAAGCCACCCAGGGACCCCTGATAACTTCTTTAAAGAAAAAAAAGTCGACCTGACAAAAAAGGGGGGGGCAAAATGTTAAGATTTGACAAAGCTGGGTAATCGGTGTGTTATTATTATTCCTTCTGTTACTCTCTAGACTTTTCCATGCTCTAACTTACCCAAAAGGGAAGAGAATCGACAAAAATCCAAGGCAGGAATATGGAAGCAGGCAAGTGGACATTGGATCAGCACATGCTCTGTAGCTTTCCCACACTGAGCAGCTACTCACAGCTTTTAAGTTGCACATTGTTGAGATTTTCTTAAAATCAAGACGGCATCCTCAGCCCTGCTCCTTCCACTGTCATCATTCTATTCTGAGCCCTTCCCCTAGCCTTTTGTCACCAGCTCACAGCTATATGTGGCTTAAGATCTCACCTATTTCAAGGTGCCTTTTAACAGTGCACTATTGAAGATGACTCACTCAAAGACCAGACTCTCCAGTGCTGAGATTTTGCCAGCCTTGCGTTTGCATGTGGAGAGAGCTATTTGGGGCAGAGATTCTTCTCGGGCACAAATATGTCATATGAACCATGGCAGACCTGACCTTCTTATAATGAAAATCCCGGGTGAGAGCTGAGACCTGGCACTGGGGTAGGGGAATGCAGGTTAAGGGTGGAGAAGTCTGATCCACCTGTTTGTTTTTACCAATTCTTTTCATGAGGCTTGTGGCTTGTCATTTTTCACCTATGCTCTGCAGAAAATACCTGAAATCGGTGCCTGTGCTTTGAAGCTACCCGCATCACCTGGGTACGTTGTCTGGGTTCATTGTCTCTGGCCCTGGTGCTGTAAGGGCAAATACCAATTAAACTATGGACTTAAGGTGATAGTGATGTGTCAGTGTTTATTCACAGTTGTAACAAATAAACCACCCTGGTGGGGGATGCTGATGGTAGGGAGGCTGCAGCTGGCAGCGGCAAGCAGGGGGTATGTGGGAATTTTCTGTATACTTTGAGCTCAATCTTGCTATCAACTTAAAATTGCTCTAGAAAAAAAAAGAGACTTCATTTTCCCAGTTGTAGGGGAAGAGACTTCCCATCCCTCCTTTTTCTTCTAGAATTTCTTTCTTCGTTCTTGTCATATGTATGCACATCTTTTAATAGCTAAATAGCTGCTTGCCAGTCTGAAAACTCAGGAGTCTTTCCCCCAGGAGCTGGGAGTCACCTCTTTGCAAAGTAATCATCAAAGAAGATGCCACCCCATGGTCTCCTGGGAGGAGAGGGCTTAGCTCCAGCTGTCACCTTACTTTGAATTGCAAAACCAATCTCGCAGCACAAAGATACAAGAAAATCAGCAATTTCTCTCGAGAACACATGTAGTGAGTTGCATCTGCCTGACTATATAAAAGGCTGAGAATTCCCTGTCTTTGCAATCTCTTTAGCAGATGGCCTGTGATGCACATCACATTCAGGTTTAATGCTTATTCAATAATCCAGTGGTTTTCTTCCGTTTCTACCTTAATGGGCAGGCTTTCTGGGGTGGGAGATTATGTTTTTAATTATATTTCCCCAACAGGGCTCGTGTTGGGAGGCAAACGCCAGAATAGGTGGTTTGGCCAGTGTGGATGCCTATAGGGGCAACAGCCCGCTGAGAGGCCTATCCTTGGAGAGCCTCTCAGAACAGGGGCAAGGTCACCCCTGTGCCCCAAGAATTGTGTGACCTCCTCTTCTGAGTCTGAAGTGTCTCATCTGTAAATTGGGAGGACCTGCTGCTTCTGCCCTCCGTGAAGCACCCCAGGGTCACCCCTACGCAGAAGAGCTCTCTCTGCTTTGATCTCAGAGCTGGCCCCTAGCCCCAGGTAACCATACTCATTGTTTTATGTACACACATCTCATGTCCCACCCACCCCCCAGTAATCTGGGAGCTGCATCTCGTGAACTCAATGTTGACTCTGTTCACTTCACCATCTTTGAGCCTTTGTCGAGTGCCAAGACCTTCTATGCCCTGAGAAAATCTCACCCTGGAAGGGGGCTGCCTGCTTTTGTAAACCCACCTTGTCGTCCAGGGTGGTCTGGGTGCAGAACACTGTGGACCACTAGCGTGGGCCTTGGAACAGAGCAGGTAATACAGAAGGGGATCAAGGATGAGCACTGAGGGGATCCCTGGGTGGCTCAGCGGTTTAGTGCCTGCCTTCAACCCAGGGCATGGTCCTGGAGTCCTGGGATCAAGTCCCACATCAGGCTCCATGCATGGAGCCTGCTTCTCCCTCTGCCTGTGTCTCTGCCTCTATCTCTCGTGAATAAATAAATAAAATCTTTAAAAAAAAAAAAAAAAGGATGAGCACTGACTGGGGGTGGAGGCAGCATCCGGGGAGCAAGAACCTAGGACGGAAGAGGTAGGTGAGAACAACATGACACCTGTGATTGGGTGCCTGGAGTGGAAGGTGGGCTGGGGGCACACTGCCCCCCCCCCCAGCTGGGTTCCATCCTTGGACCAGAGAAAAACCTCAGTAAAACTTGAGCGCGGGGAACCAGGTGAGAAAGGGAGGGGACGGGACGGGAGGTCAGGGAATGCTTGGTGCCGGAGGAGGAGGGGGGGCAGCACTTTGCAGAAGCGGGGCGCTAGAGACGCAACGGACCGGTGTGTGTGCACGTGTGTGCACGTGTGCGTGTGTGTGCACGCGTGCCCCTGACTCAGCAGGGATGGCGGGCGGGGGGGCGGCCTGGCTGGGGCTCGCGGGGCCGCCGTGACCCCGCAGGCAGCCGACCGACCGCGGGCAGGGGCGGGGCGCACCGCGGGGCTCGCGGCGGCGGCGGCGCCGGCGGGCGGGGGTAGGGGGTTCGGTCCTCGGACGGGGCGGGGCGGCCCCTCGCGGGCTTAGCGCAGTCGACAGCACTAACGCCCCGGCCAGCAAATCTTTTGTCCGGGGCGGCGCTGAGCCAGCAAGGCTGCCGCCCGCTATATAGGGGCGGGCCGCGGCGGGCAGGGCGCACCATGGCGCAGCGCTCGGGGAAGGTGAGTGGGGCCCCTCCCGGCCCCGCGGGACCGTAGCAGACGCCGCCCGCGCCGCCCCCCACCCGCCGCCGCTCCGCGCACCCGGCCGCGGGGCCGAACTGTCACCGAGGCGCCCTTCGCGTCTGGCAAGCCTGGGCCAAACTGGCGTAACTCCCCCCCCCCCCCCAGACTCGGCGGCCGGGCCCTGCCCTGGCTGAGGGCCTCTCTGCTGTGGGAGGGGGCTGGGTCTCCGTCTCCCATCTCCCCCCCAACCTCCAGCCCTGGCTCTGCGGAGGTTTGAGGGATCTTGGAGCCCGGGGGGTCACCAGTACTCCCGGACATCTCTGGGCCGTCGCCCACACCTGCCTTGTCCACAAAGGCGGCAAATCGGATCCACCCATTCTCTGCCCCTCCCCTCGCGGGTCTGATGCAGCCTTAGGTCTCCAGGGCCTAGGGTCAAGTTTAGCGGGTGAGAACATTGCTCAGTCCGCACAGGCTTGGTTATGCTTCAGTAACAAACAACCCCAAGAGCCAATCGTGCTCCCCGCGCCCCCACCCTCGCCGGGGGCGCCCCAGAGGGACAGGGAGAGCTGGGGAGTGACCCCCTGGCTCTCAAAGCTTCTGCCTAGGGGGCAGGAAGGGTAATCATCCGGGACAGGGCAGGAGATGACATCACTTACCAGCCCCCAGGCCACACGATTTGTACTTTGCCAGGGCCCATCTGGGAGCACAGTTCTTGAAACCCAAAGAGTTCTTGTGTGGCTGGAATTTCAGGCTCTGTGGCAGAAAATGAACGGCAGGGCCCATAGAGTTCATGTTGTTTAGTTTAGGGACAAGGAGAAGCTGTCTGTGCTACTTTGCCATAGGATGCTGTGTCTGAACTGACCGCTGAGTTGGTAACACTCCAGCTCTGACACATGCTGTCACCCAAAGGAGTGGCCCAGGAAACAAAGGGATGAGTTACGTTGAAAAAAAAACAAAAACAAAAAAACCCTTTTTAGCCATTAATCCCCGCACCAGGCCCTGACTGTGCTCCCTTACACATCCAGTCTCTCCTGCTGCAGGGCCCAGTCCCAGGAACCTGACTTTCTGAAAGTTCAGTGTTTGGTTACAATGGTGGGGTTGTGAGTGACATGCTCTCTCCTGAAAACATTTCCTTGGATGTTATGTTTTAACAACACAAAGTGAGTCTTAAAAAAATGCAATGGGAATTTGAAAACAGCTGGTTTTCAAATGGGCCCAGGGACAAAGGGGGGAATTCTTATTCCCAGATATCTTCGGAAATTTGCTCAACTGTGAGCCCCTGGGGAGGGGAGGCCCAGGCCCTGGTCTGACCTCGACCCAACATCCAAGTGTTCTTTCCCCCCATTAACGGTGTTGTGCACCTACATTGCACAGCAGGCCTGGGAATTAGGGCTCAATCCAGGTGTTGGACGCCGGTGGTCTGCTCCCCAGACTGAAGAGAGAGAAGCCCCTGACCTCAAGCCCTCTGACCTGGCCTTTCTAGATCATCCTCTATGAGGGCAAGCACTTCACCGGGCGGAAGCTGGAGGTCTATGGGGACTGTGACAACTTCCAGGACCGAGGCTTCATGAATCGGGTGAACTCCATCCGCGTGGAGAGCGGCGCCTGGGTCTGTTTTGATCACCCCGACTTCCGGGGCCAGCAGTTTATCCTGGAGCACGGAGACTACCCTGACTTCCTCCGCTGGAATGGCCACAACGACCACATGGCCTCCTGCCGGCCCATAGGAATGGTGAGTGGGGCTCGGGCTGGGGGCTTCCTGCCGGAGGGACCAAGGATCCGTGCTGCTCAGACGTGGGACAGATCATCTGGGAACATGGCCCTCCCAACTTGAAGATCTGATAAGCCTGTGTGATGTTTGAGATGGAGAGATGCCCCCATGCCGACCCACCCACCACAGCCTCGTGTGTGGGATGGCATGGGGCTGAGCCGCAGAGCTCCTGGAAGTTTTCATACCTACATACTGATAGGCAGGTATCAGGGAACCGCCTTCCATTTCCGATCCCAACATCTTGCTGAATTTTTTTTTTTTTTTTAGTTTATTTATGATAGTCACAGAGAGAGAGAGAGAGAGAGAGAGAGAGAGAGGCAGAGAGAGAAGCAGGCTCCATGCACCGGGAGCCCGATGTGGGATTCGATCCCGGGTCTCCAGGATCGCGCCCTGGGCCAAAGGCAGGCGCTAAACCACTGCGCCACCCAGGGATCCCTCTTGCTGAATTTTTCACTTAAAGGCTGTTGGAAATATTTGAAGTTTGGATTTGCAACCAGACAGGGGAGAATTTAGCTGATTTGGGCCTGGTGTATCCACCCGGGCAGGTCATCTTGTTGTGCTTTTCAAGAGACCTTGATGCTCTGACAGTAGAATGACTGAAGGAGGAAGCCTAGGTCACCAGCCCATCCTCAGAGTTTGGGGCAGGTCTCTTGGAACCACACAAGTGGTTGTCATCTCACAGTGTGGCCGGATGTGTGCAGGGAGAGCATATGAGGGGCGTCACTACCCATATGCAGGTTGAGGACCGAGCATTCCCATTCCTTAGAATTTTCCCGTTACAAGTGCTAACTGAGCTGCTGGGAGGTCCAGGTGGTCATGTGGGAAATGGCTGACTCCTGAACCAGTGTCTCATCAGAGACTTCAGCCCCATGTCCATAGAAGAACATTTCCCTGGATGTGGGGGCCAGGCGGTACTAGTGAACATCTGAGGAGCCCCAGGGAAGGGGCCTCGTGTATATGGGCCCTTTCTCTTTTCTACATGAGTTACAAAACCAGCTGGGCTTTGGCATCTCAAATTGTAAGAATGCTTTCTTAGTATTTCCACCGGGCCATAGACATTTGGAAAAAGGAATTGACATGGCTGGCTCTGGATATTGCGTAATACTATTTATATGAAAAATATCCTAGGTATTTATCGAATGCTGTTCTTGTAAAAGCTATCTTTAGGGCCAGCTGGGATGCAGACCCAGCCCCTGTCGGCACCAGAGCCAGTTGGGAGCTGGCCCTTCTCTGTCTTTTGGAAATGCAGGGAATCTTATAGGGAGCTACACGTTGTCATCCCAGTGAGCCAGCAGGGATTTCAGCAAATGAGATCCCTGTTATTTGTTTTAGATTTTTGGCTTCATGTTTTAATAAAAGGTCCTATTACAGTTTGTAAAATATTATCATTTAAAGGCTTGCCCATGGCCTATGGCCCCAGGGTAGGTATGAGGGACTGGTCCAGGGGCTCTGAAGCTTTTTAAAGTGAGAGACCCCTTTCATCCAACCAGATCACATGTGCCAGAACAAGCAGAGTGCTGTGTTGACGCTTGTGTTGGGGTGGTGGGCACTCACTGGCCCCCCCAGCACTGGAACTCCTTGGTGCCCAGAGCCCTGGGCAACTCTGAGTTCCTGGCCACCCGGGCCACCCGTGCTCTTTGCCTTCCTTCCTTCCTTTCTCCACTCCCACGGGGCATGCAGCATGGAGAGAACTACCGCCTGGAAATCTTCGAGGGCTGCAACTTTACTGGCCAGTGCCTGGAGTTTCAGGATGACTGCCCCTGCCTGCCAAGTCAGGGCTGGTCCAAGAACTGCGTCAATGCCATCAAGGTGTACGGGGATGGAGCGTAAGTAGAGGCCACAAGGCCGCTGACCACAGCCCAGCCAGGTATGGGGAGGCTGCAGGGTGGGTCAGACCGCAGCAGGGGTACAGCCTGTCCCCTGCCTTGGAGGCCCATCCCCTGCCTCAGCTGCCTCCTATACCCCAGCCAAGCAAGGAGGTGGCTTCTTCATGGCTCGAGAAGGCATGAGTGAGGAGCTGTGGGGCTCCCCGAAGGGAGATGCCCTCCACAGTAGGCACAGAGATAGGAGGGCACTTTGCAAACGACTGGTTCTCTGCGATTCATCTGATCTCATGGGTCTGATCTCTGTGGTCTGCTTGAGCCAGGAGAAGCCTGCTCTGAGAAGGGTAGCCCTGCCCACCCTGCACATCCCCTACTTACTCCGCAAGGTGGATCCCTGATTGGACCTCTCCTGCCAAGTGGGCAAACCCCCAGCACACAGTCCTTCCAGGAGATGGACATCATGGTGGCTTACTTCTGGTGGACAGATTGTGGCCAGGGGGGTTTTGCCCAGGCACACAGGGGCTTGTCTGCCCTGCTGCAAGAGAGTCATTAGAACTCCGTGCTAGCCTGGCTTCTGTCGGCCCCTGCATACTCGGTTCTGACATCAGCCAGGGGCAGCCTCTACTCCCATCATGCCCAGCGGCTGTTAGAAGCTTGATGACCCCTGGGCATGCTCCGGTTGGCCATGTCTTCATGGTGTCCCATTCATCTAGCCAGTGGGTAGTGTTACCCCCTCTTACAGAGGAGCATGCTGAGGTTCAGTTAGCTTGCCCCGCTTGTGAGTGGCACAGCTGGGACTGCAGCCAGGTGTTGGCTTCACATCCGTGTCCATTGTCAAGAGCAGAGCCTCCCAAGACCTCAGCCCCATCCCATCGGCAGAAGAGCCCCACTCAGTTTCCAGGAACGTGGCTCGTGTCATGGCAGCTAAGGGATCCAGTTACTGCCTTTGTGTCTGAGGTTTGGATGAGGAAACACCCTAAGAGGTTCAAGAGAGAGTGGTCCTGGGAGAGGCTGAATGAAGATAGTGACTGAGCCAGGGAAGACCTGGACCTTCTACCTGTCCCCAGGGCAGCCTGATGGCTGCTGCATCCCGGGGCCTCTGACCCAGAACCCCAGGGGAACTCTGCTCCCTCCCTGCTATCTCTGTCACTCAGGTTCCATCCAGGACTCATTGTGTCCTGCTGCCTTTCTCTGCCTCTCCGGAACCCCCTCTGTCCTAAGTTGATGGTATGCGGGGACCGATTTGGGGGGTTGAATTCCAGAACAATAGTTTGCCTGGAAAGCTGCAGGCCAAATTGTGTCTCAAGAGGCAGCAGTCACACCTTTGCATGGAAGGTGTCCTGAGACCTGAGCTGCCACCCCATCTACCCACCCTGGGGGGCTCCCGGGGCATCTTGAGAAGAAAGATGGGAAGGTAGGAGCCAAGAGTTTGGACCACAGGGCAGGGGATCTCCTGTAGTTCTTGATTTCCCCAGGAAGAAAAGGAGATTCAGAGACTGCGTGTGGCCAACCCCACACTTGGACCCAGGGCCCCACTCTCCCTCCAGAGTGCTCACCCTTTGTCTCCTGTGACTTTAAAGTTAAAAAGAAAAAATAAATAAAAAAGCCCTTGGCAAGGAGAAGCTGCCCAGATGGCGATGGCCTGGAGCACCTGGTCTGGATGTGACCTCCTTCGAGGCCTTTCCTGGGGTCTGCTGGGATCGCCCTAGAGGCTTTTGTGCCACATCACTCTCCCTACTTCCTGCCAAGGGCACAATTCTTCCTCTTTGTGGCAGGTCCCCAAACTCACAGGGTCACAGCGGGAGGGAAGACTTGGAGGGAGGTTTACTGAGGAGGCCCAGCTAGTCCTCTCTTCTTCCTTTTGAGGACTCCTGCATATGCTCCCCGTGGCCTCAGGCCTGAGCCTCCCAGGCAGGGGAGGGCAGCAGTTTGGGCACAGTGGGGCCGGGGCGCGGGGAGGCTGGGGCTGGGGGAAGGCCCAATTAACCAGGTTGGCCCTGAGCTCCCCTGCAGCTCACATGCTGGGCCTCCCTCCTCATTCCTGACCCCTGACACTTGTGCAGACTGTACCCGGCACCAGATGTGGCGTCAGGATGGGGATGGAGGCCCACCAAGACAGGTGAGGGAGAGCTGGGGAAGCTGCCCTAAGCAGGCAGCTCAGTGCGCCCTGTGACCTCGGGCTGGATGGGCTCATAAATTCTGTGTCTCAGGGGAAGAAAGTTTCAACAACAGCAGAGTGCTTTGGGGCGGGAGAGCCAGAATGGTTACGGCTACTGCCAAGTCAGACTCAGAGCACCCCACAGCCTGGACCTGAAGGGATCCCAGCAACCAGATCTGGGTGTGTAGTCCCCCTTTGCTTCCTATGGTGGAAGAGCTGTTTTCTATCCCTGGTGAGACGAAGGGGAGCATCAGAGTGAGGGGAGAGGCCAGTCTGAGAACAGGCAGGTATGACAAGGGGGCTCGTCCAGGGTGCCCCCTGCAACTTCTGCCCCTCAGCTCGGGCTCCAGATCCCACCTGGGCCAGGAAGTGTGGCAGGCCGGGTGGGAGGCCTTCTCTCCCTGCCAGGGAGGGAGGGAGGGAGGGAGGGAGTCCGTGGTCACCTGGCCTCCCTCTGACCTCAGGTGGGTGCTGTACGAGGAGCCCAACTACCGCGGCCGCATGTACCTGGTGGAGCGGGGTGACTTCCGCAGCTTCTCGGACTGGGAGGCCCACAGCGCCCGCATCCAGTCACTCCGCAGGGTGGTCAACTTCTTCTAGCCGGTCAGGACCAGGGCATGCAGGGGAAGAGGGCCAGTCACTCCAGCCCCTCCTAGGGCTCATACCTAGGGAATAAAACATCATGAAAGCGGAGAGCTGAGCTGGCCTGAGTGATTTCCCTGCGCCTCCCTGACGGGGGACACCAGTGGGGCTCCCCAGGCCCTGGCCAGGAGGGTGACAGAGGGTGCTGTGAGGCAGCCAGTGGGGAACACAAGAGCTGGAAGGTATCTCAGGGTCACAGAATGGAACGCTTTCCTTTGACACGTGAAAAGCTCATGCCCTGAATGGGAGCAAGCTTCCGGAGGAGCCAGGCGAGGGTCCAGGCACTTCCTCTCCCTGGCCCTGAGCCCTGGATCAGTCAGAGAGGATGGAAGAGAAGTGATGGGGGTGGGGGCAGGCCTCAGGGGGTCTGCCGCTGGGGCCTAGCTCCCTCCTGGCTGTGCCTCTCCCTGACTCAGCAGCTCGGGGCTGCCAGGCCATGTGGTCTGCTCCGCAGCCAAGAGCCTGACCCAGGGTTCATGAATCTGCCTCCCCGGCTGATCGTGGCCTTGGGGTTTACAGAGAAGACCCCTCTGGAAGGATGGGCTGGACCTTAGGGACACATTGCCCCTTATATCCTGGCCTGGGGGCTTGGAAGATGCACAAACATGTGGCCTGAGAGGGAATGGAGGAGGAGACTTGGAAGGAGCTTCAGGGTGAAGGGAGTGTGGAGCATCACTTGGGCCCCCAGTCTGCTCACGGGGCCAGGCAGACCCAGGGGTCTGGCTCCTTTCGCCCCCCTGGGAGAATCTGTGGAACTCCTCTGTGGCCTGGGACCCCTCCAGGATGCTGGGTCCACCCTGTTGGGGGTGGGCTCGATGGAGAGGAGCCCTGCCCTGGCCTCTGCTCCCCCTCCTGGAGCTGCTGGACACCAGAAGTGGCCCAGCTAACCGCATCTCCCTGCCTGAAGCTCCCCCGCCACCACCGCCAACACCACCAGAGTCCTGAACCACAGAGCAGCCTGGACTGACCCTGGCTGTTCAGGTGGAGGTGGAGATGTTCCTGCTACACAGGTCCTCTCCTGGGGGCTGGGCTCCCGAGCACACAAGGGCACTGGACACTTGGACACATCCGTGGAGACAGGGACCCCAAAGATGTCTTCCCCACAGCACTCAGGCCAAGGCCCCTGGCTGGAAGAGGGGTCAGGGGCTGCGGCCGCATGTCTTGCTCCCAAGAGTTCTAACCATTGGCTCAAGCTCATGGTTCCGCGTTCCAGACCCCCATACTCTGTGATCCTGAGGTTCCTTGGCACCCCACAGTTTGCCTCTTGACTGGCCACACAGGCTCCCATCCCCTCCTCACCATATACCTTGCTTGTTCTTTTCCAAGTAGGTGACAGGGGTCCCAACTGGGAAGGACCCCTTTAGGCTGGCCATTCCTTTTCTATGGAAAGGACTAGAACCCTGGAATTGAGCTGTGGACAGGCTGGGTGGTGGTAGGCATGGAAGCCAGGGTTTAGGGCGGGAAGCAGGGTCCCTGAAAGAAAACCAAAACTGCTGAGGGTTCTGAGTGAGGAAGAGTGTGGGAGGCTGTCCTGGTAAACTGTGAGGGCACAGTTGCCCCACTTCTAGGTCCCACCCCTGCACCCCACATCCCCCACTGAGACAGAAGTGGGAAGGGTGAGTCATTACGTTCTCACCACATTCTCCCACAGTTCACCCTGGGGAATGCTTCCCACAATCTGGGTAGCAAAGGCATTGGGGCCCCGGGAGTCTGCTGGGGGACCCCTCTTAGCCTAGGAGTTACACCCCTGGGTGACCATCCACCTGCCCAGGACAGAGAGGGGGCTGCCATCCTGCCATCTGTATGCGTGCCTCGCCCCCCAAACACCCCAGTCCACCTCCTGCAGCCCAGAGAGGAAGCCCTGGAAACCCCTGTGGGATTGAGGGCTGCCAGGGGCAGACCCTTTCCATCCGGACCCTCCCTCCACGTGAAGGCTCAGTCATGACCTTGAAGAAACCACCACAGACCAACAGCAAACCAGTTCACATCTCTAAGCCCAGAACGAATCAACATTCAGATACACTGACCCCATGTATGAGTTGGGAAGAGCATTTGTATGAAATCAGGCTCTTGTTTTTCACTTCTCGGCCAGTTTGTTTGGGGAGGTGGAACTTTCTGGTGTGGATTCAGTCAGCCTGACCTCTGCTGGTTTGGCCCTGCCCTGCTGGGATGGCTAGGACCCTGTCCCTGCTCGGCTGGCCCCCTGATCCTCCATCCAGGTCTGGGACAGGAGGGCCAACAGTTCCAGCTGGCCCTAGGCTTCCAGGGTCCCACAGCCCTGTACCTCCTGACGGTGATGACAGCCATTGAGCATTTATGGAGCACTGACCAAAGGCCCTGTGCTGATGCCCTCAGTAACCTTACCGACTATGTACAGTAACCTCAAGATTGTGATACTCTGATCATCCCCCCTGCAAACGAGGAGACAGTTCAGGCAACTTGCCCAAGTTCACACATGGTCAGGATTCAAACCCTGGCTGACCTTGGCTCCCAACCAGCCCACTATACTCGCTCACATTTGCAATTGAGGAAGATTTTACAATAAAGTAAGTGTCACCCCACCCAGGAGCCATCACATGCTCAGAGCATCATCCCTTGCACCCCCTGTGACCAGAGAGGAAGGGGAGTGGGGGGTCCTTACCCTGGAGCCTGTGGAGAGAAGCAGGACCGGCCTTCTGTACCCCCGGTGTGAACTGGGGGCAAGCGTCCTAGGCAGTTTGGGCTGCCGTATCAAACACCACCACTGGGGCCTTGGACAACAGAAATTGACCTCCTCACCGTTCTGGAGGCTAAATATCCAAGATCAAGAGGTCTGTGTGGGTCTGCATCCTAATCTCCACTTACAGGGACACCAGTCGCTTTGGACTAGGGTCTAGGTGAACAACCTCATTTTGACTTAATTGCACCTTCTAAGATCCTGTCTCCAAATACAGTCACCTTCTGAGGTTCCAAGGGGGACAATATATGAATTGGGGGGGTATACATTTCAGCCCATATCACAGATCAGACAGCTTCAGGCCTCAGTGTCCTGCTCTGTGAAATGGGTGCAAACCTGTCTGTTGTTCCAACTATATACGGTCGTAGAAGCCAAGCAAGTGGCCCATGAGAAGGTGCCTCACAAATGTGGGTCCTTGGGTGTAGGTGAGGCGCTCAATGTCCCCCAGTATGTCGGGTTGCAGAGAAAAGTAAATGGGAGCCTTAAGAGCCAGCTCTGGGCCTGGTCCTGACAGGATTCCGCCTTGACTCCCTAAGATGTGACCTCAGACAGGTCCCTGGCCTGTGCCTCGATTTCCCCTGCTGGCCCATGGGGTTAGCAGCAGCACCCCCTCCTGGGGGTTGGTTATTGAGGAAGCCCTCCCTGGGGTCCGGCAGCCTGCGGTGGGGGTGGGGCCCAGGGCAGGGGGCAGGTCTTACAGCCCTTCCAAGCATACTTTAGGTTCCTCCTGAACTTTTCCCCTTCCCCCAGTGCTGAGGAAAAGCAAAGTGGCACCTCATTAACTGGTGATTTAATGCTTCACCAAAAGGCCTGCGCCCCTGGGTGACCTCCCCTCACCCCAGCCCCCTGCTCCCTAATCTGTCAGCAAATCTGCTTTCTGTGTGAACGAAGAAAAACAAGATTCCCACCGACGTGCTTGTGGGCAGGCTTGTAATTTGTCTGAAGCTGGTCCAGGGGGTTGGTAGGCCCAGGGCCGGTGCCTTCTGAGGAGAGTCACACATGCTTCACATACTTGTGTCCCCACTCCTGCGGTTTGGGTCTGGGAAGCCACGACTGTCTCAGAGCCATCCCTCCAGGCCTCAGCCTCGGCCCCTGCCCCCCAGGGATCCGCTGCCCCGCAGGCCCAGTCAGACCACAGGAAAAACCTTTCCCTTTGAAGACGCAGATGTTCCGGCCTGCCTGCAGAGGGGCTGGGGAGGCTGGCCCCGGGGTGTCTGGAGGGACATCCCCCACCCCCCCACCCCCCCCACCCCGCCGCCAGCCCCCCACCGCAGGTGACCCAGCTGGAGGCCTGCGATCCTGCAGGCTTGCCCTGTTCTCTGCGGAAGGCCTCCTGTGTCTCTCTGCCTTTGCTCCACTGGCAGGACTCCCCTTGGGCCCCTACATACGTATCTTTGTTCCCCTCAAGAAACCATCTGAGGTTTCTCTACTTTTTTTTTAAGATTTTATGTATTTATTCGTGCGAGACACAGAGAGAGGCAGAGACACAGGCAGAGGGAGAAGCAGGCTCCATGCAGGGAGCCCGATGCAGGACTTGATGCCAGGACCCTGGGATCACACCCTGAGCCAAAGGCAGACGCTCAGCCACTGAGCCACCCAGGTGCCTCATCATGTGGGTTTCCAATTAAAACCTGCAGGGTGAGAGGCTTTTCAAAACTTCGCTCCAGAGTTTGGGTTTGGGAAAACAGAGACGTTCTGGGGATGATGGTGGGGGTGCTGGCTGCACAGCCGTGGAAATGTCCTCCGGGCCGCGGAACCCTCCGCTGAGAAGCGATTCCAACGGGAAACTTTAGGCTCTGTTTGTTTTCCCACAATAAAAACACAAGTCTAGCTCCTCGTTTGCTGGGGTGCTAAGGGCTGTTGGGAGGTCATTGGATATGAAAGGCGCTCCCCAGATCTGAGGGGACCCTGTGGGTGCCATCTGCCCGCACTGCCCCTGACCCAAAGAATCTGTCCCCTTGTCATCTCTCCTTTTAGGTTCCCCAGCGAACGCTGAGGGAATGGCAAGTGCACAAGGGACCGAATGCTCCTTCCCGAGGGTGGCTCAGGGCGCCAGGGTGACACTGGGATGAACCCCAACTTCCCGAGCCCCAGGGCCTGCTCAGCTATACAGGCTTCTGGGGGCAGCCTGGCAACACAGGAGAGGGTGACCTGCACCCCAGTCTGTGCCCCCTGACATGTAAAATGAGCATTTTTGTAAATAGGCTCTTGGCTTCCCTACTGCCTGCGGCTAAGGCCCTCTTTGGAATCAGTGATTGCAAACATCCGGGAAAAGTCCAGCTGACGCCGCTTCTTGGCTTGGGCTCCGCATGAGAAGGGAC